TGTTGCTCTCCTTGTGGAGTTCCTGTCCCCTCCAGCTCTTACTATTTCCCACTTCTTACATAAAATTCCATTCACTCTGCCCATCAGTTGGCCATCAGGCTCAGCATCTGCTTTGACAGTCTATACTGCAGAAGCTTTCAGAGGCCCTCTGTGGCAGGTTTCAAGGTTGTTTCCTGTTTTCTTCTGGCTTTCAGAGGCCCTCTGTAGCAGGTTCTGAGGTTGTTTCCTATTTTCTTTTTCTTCTGATGTCCATCCTCTTTGCCTTTCAGGATGGGGATTGAACATTTTAGTTAGGGTCCTCTCTTTTGCTTAGTTTGTTTAGATGTACAGATTTTAGTGGGTTTATTCTATATTGTATGTTTATATGAGTGAGTATATACCATGCGTGTCTTTTTGCTTCTGGGACAACTCACTCAGGATGATCCTTTCCAGGTCCCACCATTTACCTGCAAATTTCATGATTTCCTTATTTTTCATTGCTGAGTAATACTCCATTGTATAGATGTACCACAGTTTCTGCATCCATTCTTCAGTTGAGGGGCATCTGGGTTGTTTCCAGCTTCTGGCTATTACAAATAAAGCTGCTACAAACATGGTTGAGCAAATGTTCTTATTGTGTACTTGCGCCTCTTTTGGGTATATGCCTAGGAGTGGTATGGCTGGATCTTGAGGAAGTGCTATTCCTAGTTGTCTGAGAAGGCGCCAGATTGATTTCCAGAGTGGTTTTGTTTTTTTGAACAACTGAATAATATTCCGTTGTGTAAATATGCATTTTCATTATCCATTCATTTGCCAATTGACATTAAAGATGTCTTCCATTCCCTGGCTATTGTGACTAGAGCAGCAATGAACATGGATGAACAGCTATCTCTGAATTATGATATACAGTCCTATGGTTTATATGTCCAAGAGAAGTACAGCTGCTGAATTTAAATGGCGTTACCCTATAATGGGATAACAATGCTTTTACTAGATATATCAGGCTAACAAAAAATCCAGGGTCATGAATGGGCTACTTCTTATTTAGTTGTTGGCAAGTGAAGTCCTGTAGACCCCCAAACATTATGGGCTATTAAGAATGGCGCCCCATAGGCTCATATATTTGAAGGTTAGTCCCTAGTTGGTGGAACTGTTTGGGAAGGATTAGGTATGGTCTTGTTGGAGAAAATGTATCACTGGGGATAGGCTTTGAGGTTTCAAAATCCCATATCATTCCCAGTTAATTCTTTCTGCATCATGGTTGTATCTTAAGACATATACTCTCAGTTGCTAATCCAGCACCATGCATGCCATGCTCCCTGACATGATAGTCATGGTCTCATTCTCTGAAACTGTAAACTCCCAATAATTCTTTCTTCTTAAGGTCCCTTTATCATGGTGTCTCATCGGACTAATAGAAAAGTAACTAGTATATGTTACACCTCTCCTCCCAAAACTCAGGGATCACTTCAGAAGAGAGAGTGGAAAGACTGAGAACCGGAGGTAGCAGAGGACTTTAAGGAAAGTGTTTTCTGGACACAAAAGGATAGTTGCATTTATGAACAGATAGCCATTGTGATAGTAAGTATAAGACCCTCACAAGCTTAAGCCAAACAAAAATCCTAGCATAGAGAGAGGAGATGAACATGAAGTCTCAACTCTAGCTGAGTTGCTATTAGCAAGCCATGGATTCTGGGAAAGAGTCAGTTTTTTATCTTACAATATAACAATGAGGTAAGGAACTCTTGCCTAGCAATAGAAATAAGGCTTCCATATAATTGAAGCCAAGAGGTTAAAAGATATGAAATTTGAAGATACTAAAATTACAGCCTCAATAATGTTTTTAATATAAACAGTTGGTACTTATTAGCAATCAATGTTTCTTGCATAAAAATTTTACATGTATTTTTTCACACAAAAGGGTAATTTAATATTTTCAACCAACCTATATAAGAGGCAAAACCAAAAGAAGGGGGAGAGGACAGGAGCTCTACAAGGAGAACAAAAGAACCAAAATATCTGGGCACAGGGGTCTTTTCTGAGATTGATACTCCAACCAAGGACCATTCATGGATATAATCTAGAACTGCTGCTCAGATATAGCCCATGGCAGCTCATTGTCCAAGTAGGTTCCCTAGTAATGGGAACAGGGACTGTCTCTAACATGAACTCAGTGGCTGGCTCTTTGACCACCTTCCCCTGAGCAGGGTGCATCCTTGCCATGCCACAGAGGAAGACAATACAGCCAGTCCTGATGAGACCTGATAAACTAGGGACAGATGGAAGGGGAGGAGGACCTTCCCTATCAGTGGACTTTGGAGAGCGCTGTGGGAGGAGATGAGGAAAGGAGGATGTGATTAGGAGAGAATGAGGGAGGGGGCTACAGCTGGAATACAAAGTGAATAAACTGTAATTAATATAAAAAATAAAAATTTAATTAAATAAAAATGAAAGAAATAGTACAAAAAAAAAGTCAGTTTTTTTTTTAATGGTGTCACTCCAGTGGACAGCTCTAAACCCAAGAGTATATGGTCAGTACAGACTGGACTTGATAGTGTTTTATTGTTTGTTTACAGAGACAAAGTTGGGTGAATAAGGAAGTGGGTTAAGAATTATGAAAATACATTGTGTGAAATTCACTAAGAACAAAAAAGACAGTGCAAAGGGGGTGCAAAATTTTCTCTAAATTTCTACTTAAATGCAATTCACATTGTAGTCTGATTCAATTCCTCCCTCTCCATGCAACCCTCCACATTGCTTTTTCCCCCCTAAGAGTCTTGGCCTTCTAGAAGAAAATCCCACTGAAGCCAGGTCTGAATCACATTTATTTCTCAAATCCTCATACCTATCTAGCACATAGTAAATTTCAACAATTTGTTACATAGTGAACAAGGCAGGATATGAACAAGTACATGTGTCTTTAGAATGTTTAAAAATACCAAGGAGAAGGGACACCTGTGACAAGCAATTATACACTCAGAACTGCCAATGGGAAGAACATTTTTCACTCATTAGAAAATTTTGGTGAGCTGCTTATTCTGTAGATGTGGTGCAGAAGTTAAATCCATTAATTCATGAAAGAGATTACTCATTATGTATAGTAAAAATTGTGAGCTCTAATATTTTAATTAAGCCTTGGATGAGATTACATTGAGACCAAGGCAGCAGTCTTCAACAATAATCTTAAAGTATGACAATCAATGAGGCTTTCACAGGTAATTTGAGAACAAAAATCCTTGAGTTAACATTGAACATCCAGCTAAAGCAAGATAAGAAACATGACAGTTGAGACACAGGATGTGAGATACCATATGGCAATTATAATTCATGGCAATTGAGATATCTCCAAGTCAGAAGAAGGAACAGGCAAGTTGAGTGAAGCCTTCATAGACTTGTGAATCATTTCATCTTTTGACATCATAAACATGAATCCTGATTGGTAATATATTTAAAGAATCAGAATATTTCTAAGAAACTATATTACTAACTCTACATTTTTAGAAGATTTATTTTTTCATGGGTGTTTTACCTGTGTGGTATGTCTGTGTACCTTGTGCATGCACAGGGAAGCCAGAAGAGGGTTAGGATCTCCTGGAATTGAAATTATAAGCAACTATCATCTCCCACATGGTGCTAGGAGTTGAATTCCAGTTCTTTGGAAGCACAGCATGCTGTGCTACCTCCCCAGCTCTGAAGTACTACAGTTTTTAAGCTCCATGTTTACAGTTCTATAACATTTAACCTTAAGATATTTTATGATGTATTATATTAGCTCTCTCCAATAAAGTAACCACTAACCACAGGGGGCTTTTATGAGCCTGAAATATGGCTAGACAGAAATAAGATGTTCTCGAAAACATGAAGACAGGCTGAATTTGTATATCTATGGAAAAAATAGTATAAAATATTTAGCAGTTAGTATAAAATATCTAGCAGTTGTATGTAATATCCTAAATATACTGAAATAAAATAGCATTAAAATTAAATATAAGTATTTTTGTCTACTTTTAAATTATGGCTATCAGAAAAAATTAAATGATATAGATGGCTGATATATACAGCCATTGTTTATGCTGTATTTCTACACAATGGTCCTGGTACAAAGAAATGGTTTTCATCTAAGGCTGATCGTGGCCCTGGGAGTATTTAGCAATGTCTAAAGATATTTTTGTCATAGACCGAGCAGTGCTACTGGCATCTAGTGGGTAAAGGCAAGGTATGCTTCTAAACCTCCCAAGCAAAGAGTTATCTAACTCCAAATGTCAAAAGACTACTGTATTCAATACATCTAACTAGCTGTGCAAACTTTGGGCAAACTGCCCATCCTCTCTTTGATTCATAATTAACTATCTACATAATACAGCACTGATGCTTCAGACAGCAGCCCCCTCGAAGAGTTGTGAGGGGACAGGCACACAGACTCTGCTCGCTGGAGATTACTTATCAGGATGTAAATGGGTTTGTTAGGACTGGAGAGATGTCTCAGTTGTTAAGAGCACTTACCTCTCTTCCAGAAGATACAGGTTCAGTTCCCAGAACTCCTGTCAGGTAGTTTACAACTCTGTAACTCCAGTACCAGGGCACCCAGTACCCTATTCTGGCTTCCACAGGTGTCCACCCCTCTTTCGTGCATATACCCCCCCAAAAAAACCCACATAATTTAAAACAGTAAAAATAATTTTAAAATGCTTTTCTTTGTTCACTGCCTCTTTATTTCATGAAATCGTACTCACTGATTTTGTTATGTTTTTCTCACTGGCTCTACTAGAGTTGTTAAAAATGTTGCTTTACTTCTACATTTTCAGGAAAATACATGAATCAGGAAAAACAATTTTTGTCCAACTTTCAGAAGTTGTAGACACAAACGGATGTTATTCCGTATTATTAACATACAGCACACTTGTGCACCTTTGTCTTCTATGGAAAGGGCAGGCAAACTTTTCCCCCAGGCTTTGTTTGAAGTGGCAAGTCCCACGCTTTCTGGCCAGCGATCATCATGTCAAGGTACTGTCAGTACTTACAGGTGGAAGCAGAAGTCCCAGTCGGTGTCATTGTTAACGGTTGGAATGCGGATGGGCGTGGCTTTCATATTCCTACCAAGAATCACAGGTGAGATCAGCTTTGGGGGAAGAGCTTAGATGTTCGTTCTGTTTTTCCCTCCACTGGATGCTACTGACGTTAAATTAAATGGATAATGTAAGTCCACAAATAGACTATGCAGACCCATGTTTAGAGACTCCTAGGAAGAAACTGAAGGTGTCTATCAGAGTTAAATTTTTTTCTTAATTTTTGCTGTATACTATATCTCCAAAGTTCTTTTAAAACTATTTCTTAAGTAACATATTTTTTACATTTACTGAATCATCCAAACTATGGTGATCTATTCACCCCAAATACTATTCGGCAGCGCTAAGGGAAAGCGGAATCAAAAGCAATCAGTTTTCAGTATGGCATAAAGTATGGCATATTCTCCCCTTTGCAGGAGCATGTCAGTACGTAATAGAAAGTTCTGGATAAGAGGCTGAAACTCAAGAGCCTACTTAGGATGCTGCTAATGTTAGCTGTTGAAAAAGTGAACCGCATTGGAGGTTTGATTTGTGAAATGCATTTCTTAAATGCACACTTGAATGAATATTAACACCATCCAAGTCGCTCCCTGAAGAATACTTAGGTAGCTTTCCCTACTCAGACTCCAGAACACCCAACTCTGCAAAACTGGGATGAGCAGAATGACTAACTTCCTTTTCTAAGTTCTACTTTAACGTTCTGAGTCCTCAAAGTCCTACAGGCAGTTCCCATGCAGTTGCACAGGGTCCTGGATTAGGACATTACACTTGGCTGCCCTCTAGGTCAAATCTCTCGCTGATTCCCTTGTGGTTTTTCTATTGTTGCTTCCTAAATATCGATACCCTGTGAACCTGGCCCCATCTTCTGGCACCCTGCACCGGAAGTTGGTGAGCGCTTCTGGCTCCCCGACCCGGAAACGCCTTTTCGTTCTCTCACCAGGCTAGGCAGTTCAGACCTCCTCTGCCTCCGGTCAGTGTCCCGCATGGGCCCTGTTGTGCCTCACGGAAGCTAGGCTTCTGATTTGGCGACAATGCGTTGCCATGGGGACTGACCCCTGCCTTTGCGCGGAGGTCCGGAACCATGGCAACGCGAAGTACTTCGGTCCCGCAGCTCCAGCATGTAAGACAAGCTCTCTGGCGGTCAGCCTCAGGGCTGTAAATGGTTTAGTAGTGCCTGTCGCACAGGGACATAACTTCGTGACGATGAAGGAACTGAGGATAAATCCGTGACGATGAAGGAACTGAGGATAAATCCGTGGAAGAAAGGAAGGCGCACCAGGCCTCAGGACCCTGATGGTTTTCAAACTGCTGTGTCTATGGGTGTTCTCAGCAATGACTCTTGGCTAGCCAGTCCAGTCTTCCTGAAGCAACCTGCACCCAGTAGTCTCCGGGTGTTCTGGGTCACCATCGATGGATCACCTTATCTGTGGATAAGGTTAGAGTTAGGCTTGTTGAAGAAAACAGTACAGGAAAAGATTTAGGAATGGGCCAGTAGCTGACAGATGGTAGTCATTTCAGGGAGAAAGGCACATTCTGCAAATACCACTTAGACCTAAATCACATGCAGCTTTGTCCCCCTAGGCCACAAAGCACATAGTAGAACTACATAGATGTGAAGACCGCCACTAGCTGTGGCATATGTTAGAAAGCACTATAATGAACCCTACTATGCACTGGGCCCTTGACAACGAACAGGTGAGGCCCTCACGTTTTAAAAAAAGGCTGGGTAGAAAAAGGAGAAAGCCTGAGATTTTGTATGTTTTGCATTCGTTCTTACATATCTGGGTAGAAATTTATCATTGACACTAGAATGTCAAGAAAGCCTTTCAAGGTTGGAACATTTAAATGAGTTTGCTTTCATATATAATAAATAAAAATGATGGTCTATAAACGCAAGGCTTAAATCTGTACTCTTAAGTTCCTGAGCCAAAAATTTGCCCTGTCTATTCTCTGGTTCCTAAGAGAATCTTTAGTGTGAAATGATGGTCAGAGTGATAAACTCGGTTTCAAAATGTCAGCGTTGCCGTTTTGACTCTGGCTTTGGTGTAAGTCACATCCTGTGGTTATCAGTTTCCTTGACTACTCTGTAAGAATATATATACGTACCTCTTGGTCTCAAAAGCCTCTCTGGTTCTAGGATTCTATGAAGTTTTTTGTGACCCCATGACTGATTATTTTTACATTTATGGAGACTAAAAGGAAGAATCTATTTTTATGTTGTCTAATACATAATAAAGTTGGTCACTATCAAATCAGATTTTTAGCGCTTGTTTTAAGAAATAGCTTTAAAATTGTTGCTTAGTCTGTGAAAGGGAAAGTTCATTTTTTCCAGACACTTGTTTTGTCACTCATTGTGACCGTTAGTGTGGTACTAGAATTTACACTGAATTCCCCTTCTAAAGAGATTCTGCCTCCATTTAATTAGTGCTGAACAGAAGCACGTTGCTCTCATCTGCAAATTTATAAAGGCAAACTCAGACAGCCTCAAAGCCTTGATGTTCCAAGTGTCTGATACTTTTTCTGTGCCATGGAAACCCTGTCCCTCAAAAGTAAATTTCAGTAACATGTATGACTGTTTGCTGGATGGCTCTGGAATGGAATGCATTAATCGCCATAGTTATTGTCTGTCACTCACGTTCTCACCTTTAATCCCAAAGTAGAGGCAGGCAGTCTCCGTACCTCATAGGTAAAAGTAGGACCGAAGCAAATTTGAGGACAGCCTGGGCTGCACACAGCAAGAACCAGCTTAGCCAAGGGCACATTATGAAATGTGTCAAATAAACAAACAGCTGAATAATAAACGAAAAAAAAAAAAGCATTTGGAGGGACTTTGTAGAGAAAAGAAAACGTGTAGAGAGCTCTTTGAGACTTTTATGACCCAAATCTAACGTGATTACTTTCAAAGGATTCTTTTTTTTTAATATTATTTACAGTTTATTAACTTTGTACCCCTGCTGTTTCCTGCTTCCTCATTCCCTCCAACCCCACCCTCCCTCCCTCATCTCTTCCCTGCCCCTTTCCAAGTCTACTGATAGGGGAGGACCTCCTTCCCTTTCATCTGACCCTGGTTTATCAGGTATCTTCAGGACTGGCTGCAAAGTCCTCCTCTGTGGCCTAGCAGGGCTGCTCCTCCCTCAGGCGGGGGAGGGGAGTGTCAAAGAGCCAGCCATTGAGTTCATGTCAGAAACAGTCCCTGTTCCCCTTATTAGGGTAACCCACTTGGATACTGAGCTACCATGGGCTACATCTGAGCAGAGGTTCTAGGTTATATCCATACATGGTCCTTGGTTGGAGAAACAGTCTCATAAAAGACCCCTGTGTCCAGATATATTTGGTCCTTGTGGAGCTCCTCTCCAGGTCATATTAACTCCCCCTTCTTATGATTCCGTGCACTCTGCCCAAGGTTCGGTTATGAGTCTTAGTATATGCTTTGATAGGTACACTTTCAAAGGATTCTAATCCCAGAAACTATGAAATATAAGAACAAGAAAATCCAAATATTTTTTTGGAACATTTTTTTCCCCTGTCTGGGCAGAATCAGATGTTCTCCTAGTTAGATTCAGCTGTCAGCCTGACACAGCCCAGTTATGTGAAGGAGTTTCAGTCCAGGGATTGTCTCCATAAGATTAGCATGTGGGGCATGGCTGTGGAACATTCTTAATTGCTGATGGATATAGGAGGGCCTAACCAAGTATGGGCAGTGCTGGGCCTGGACTGCAGAGGCAATGTAGCTGGCCATAGGCTTGGGAACAAGCCACTAAGCAACATTCCTCCATAGTGTTTGCTTCAACTTCCTGCCCTGTTTGAGCTCCTGTCATGACCTCTCCCAGTGATGGACTGTAAGCTGTCAGATGAAACTTCCTACCCAGGTTGCTTTGGTCATGTTGCTTATTACATCAGCAGGAAGCAAACTAGTACAGAGGCCTTCTGTCATGTTGAAGAGACACCATGACCTCAGCAACGTTATAAAGAAAAGCATTTCATCGGGGCTTGCTTACACTTTGAGAGGTTTAGTCCATTGTTGTCATGGTGGGAGTATGGCAGTACAGGCTGACATGGTGCTGGAGGAGCAGCTGAAAGTTCTACACCCAGATCCTCAGGCAGCAGGAAGAAGAGAGATAATCCTGGTTTGGACCCTTGAAACTTCAAAGCCCACCTCCAATGATACACTTCTTCCAACAAGGCCACACCTACTCCAAGGCTATATCTATTTATTCTTTCAAATAGTACCACTCCTTGCTGAACAAGTATTCAAATACATGACCTATTGGGGGTCACTCTTATTCATGCCTGACTTCACTCTGAGTTTCCGCATTTATCCTGCCCTACAGTCTCATCATGGAGCTTAACTCAGCTTTGTGTTTACTTGTAAGTTTCCTAGACTATGGATCCATCCAGCTTTCTCAACAAAAATCTCTATTGAGCATGTATGTACCAGATGCCTATTTGAAGCACCAGTGTGTTGGTCAGTATTCAATTGCTGTGACAAAATTCCTGAGAAAGTAAGTTTAAATGGAGGAAAGAGGTTTTTTTTTTTTTTTCAGCTCATGGTTTCAAAGGTTCCGTTATAATATTTACTTGACTTAGTTGTTTTAAGGCCTGTGAAAAAGTAGAGACTCGTGGCATGAAAATTTTGGCAGGGGAAGCATTTTCTTTATGGCAGTTAAGAAGTAGAGGAGAGAGAAAAGGGAGGGAGAAGGAAAATGAATCCCAGTGTATCTTGAAGGGCATGCTTTCTGAAGGACCCACCTCTTTCAGCTAGGCCCTATTTCCTAAGGTTGCTACCACCAGAACTAGAAGCAAAGCTAAACATCAAGAATTGTTTTTCTGGAACTTAGGAAATAACAAAAAAAATAATGACTGCTATGAATAATAGTATTTCTGCAAATTAGGGGGGAAAAAAGGTACATGACTTAGGTAGTAGAAAGCAACATTGTATGAATTACTAGTGAAAAGGCCTCTTAAAAGCTGGGTAAGCCCCCAGTGAGAAGTCAGACAGCAATTAAATGCTCACTCAAGCATTCACTCAGCTGAATTATCTTGCTGGCAAATGATAAAAAGGAAAAAAAAGTAAAGGTAGGTGAGGAATTTAATGTAGTCACATGGGAAGGGGAATTCTACCTTGTACAATGTAGTCTAGGAGGGCTTCTCTGACAAGTAGCATCTAAATGGAGACCTCCAAGATATTAGCAAATTAATGTAAATGGGAGAACACTGTAGTATGGTGTCTTAGTTCCTTTGTGTAGCTGTGATAAAATAGTAAGACCAAAAGCCACTTGTTTATTTTGGCTTACAGTGCCAGAGAGTTAGAATGAACAACGGTGGTGATGGCATGGCAGCAAATGACAAAAGCAGGAAGCGGGCTGATCACCTTTTGCCAGCACAGGGAAAAGAGAAAGCTGAAGTGGGGAGAGGCTATGCTCGCTATCAGCCCACCTCCTATGATGCACTTAAACCAGCAAGGCTTCATGTCCCACAATCTCCCACAGGGCCAACTGGGGAACAAGTGTTCAAACACCTGAACTTATAAGGAAACATTTCTCACTCAAACTACTGCACACATTAACAGCAAACAGTGTTACTGTAAGGGTTCTGAAGCAGAGCAAGCTTAATAAAAGGAACCAGAGACAAGAGACTAGAACAGTCTTCCAGGCAATCCTTTCACCTATTGGGTGATTCCTTAATACCTACAAGATGACAGGACCAGTTTGATGAACCTTGTGAGCAGAATGTTACTTAGTATGTACAGTCATGTATAAGGACTATTACCAGTTTCCTATAACTACGATAAGCTTATTGGCTTAAAAACAAAAACTAAATCTGAAATGGATCACTGGGCAAGAATGTGCAGAAGACAGCCTACTTAATTATGCTTTCTAGAGCTCATTTTAAGATTTTCCCTTCCCCTTCAAAGCCGCTGAGGCACTGTTTTCATCCTTCCCTTTAATTCTTGTTCTTTCCTCCAGTTTAAAGAACACCTGGTGAGCTGGCAAGATAGAGCTCAAAGGGCAAAAGTGCTTGCTGCCAAGCCTG